AATATAATGTATGATGAAGACTATAGTTGCGCAAGCAAACCTACAATCAAATCCGCTGTTCTGACGAAGCGACAACTCATGAACACACATTCTATCTCCTTGCCATCCTCATCCCCTCATCCCCCCCACCCAATGTCAATTCAACCTCCCAGTCGCCTCACCTAACCCGGTGGTCCTCAACCTGCGCGGCTCGACATTCGCGGGTGCCTTGTTGCCTCCCAAGTGTGCCGCTTAAGAGTTTGCAGATGTGTGTGTCTTGTCCTTCAAATCCCTGCCTTAGTCTGAAATCTTGGTAAGATGTAGGACAAATGTAGAAAGCTGAACCAAGTTAATCTAACCTTAAGTTTCCCATTAATTAGAGCTTACTAAGTTTTCATGCATAGTAGATTTTTTTTCAAGGAGATATGATAACTTTTGTACATATAATAGCTAGTGTATCACAGCAATATAGTATATTCTAGCGTTACGCCAGAGTGCAAGGGTAGAGAACCAGTGCGCTAAAGCAACCTTTCCCGCAGTTCAAATGTGCCAGCGGTTACGAGGCCTATTGGGAGATAAATGACACTGTGACCTATCACTGGAGGCTGCGTGTGACCTGCAACAATGAGAAGCACACTTGGTCGTCGGCGGGCGGTCAGCCGTCAACTACGTTAGAGTTGCCAAATTGCAGTAAGTATTCTTGAGTTGCCATGCTTATAAAAGCATTTTTACTGAAGTTGTCATATTGCAGTATTTTATTTGAGGGTACCATATTGCAGTATTTTATTTGAGGGTGCCATATTGCAGTATTTTATTTGAGGGTGCCATATTGCAGTATTTTATTTAAGGTGTCATATTAGTTGTCTAAATGTCAAGAGTATATTAATAAACTGAACTTTGGTTTCCGATAAAAGTAACAAGGGGCTATGTACATTGCGTAATGTACATCTATTTCAGTCACGAATCAGGGTAGGAAATGTATTATATCTCCTGTTACTCTGAATTTGAAGAAGCATGCGATAATATTTGGTTTAGATAAGCGTGGCAAGTCAAATATTTGAATACATTGATATATCCATTATCGAATAACTATCAGCAAACGAAGATGCCTTTGAATTAAAAATAAGGAAAGCTTATCATGGTGTTAGCCAATGACGTAGAAAACGAGAAAATATCCAGATACAGAAAACGAGATTAAAGGGTAACCTAATCTTTTTCTTTTCGTCCTTTCGCAGTCTACAGCGGAGCGAGAATCGCAACGTCCAGCCTTATGATGTTGATTTTTACCTTACTGTTAACCTCAAGGTTCTAAGAGCATCATCCCACGGCTGATCATGGTTAACCATAATGGGTTTAGTTAATCATGGGATTATTGGTGAGCCATGCTACTTCTGGATAATCAGAGCAGCAATGCTTAATCATGATGAATTTCGATATATATTTCTGCGCTGGACATTCCCGGAATCTACTGTTAAAGGGACGGAATGGTATCGCATATCACCCGTTTCTCCCAAGACTCTTAGGTGGCTCGAAGCGTCGCAGTCATGAATGTGTGAGAGTGTGCCCGCCTGCCAACGGAAACCCACATCGCTGTACAGGAAGAGATAGACACCAGAAAGAAGTAGGATCCAGGATGGAGGCAACTCTTTCACAGTGTTTTTTTTTTATACTTTGACCGAAAGCGGATACCGGTGTTGTACATTATGCGTTATCTGCTGCCTTATCGGAGCCCTGAAATCTTATCTGTCCTTGACATCAGACACAGACGTGCCTTAATCCGTGTAATTTTGAATTGTCAGATGATACTCCGGGTCATTTTGTATGTCTTTCACACCCATTTTCATGTTTGTCTGTTTATCAACAATATATGGTCTCATATTGTAAATATAACTTCTTTGCAATTAAATTATATAAGGAGTATTATATGTTCTTTGAATGGGAGATGTAGCTTGCATTCGTAAATCTGTGTTGTAATTTCTACATTTTATATTTTAGTTATTGTGACGGTGAAATTTGTACTTAATGCTAGTAGTTTAATTTTACTATTGCGCTCTCTCTCTCTCTCTCTCTCTCTCTCTCTCTCTCTCTCTCTCTCTCTCTCTCTCTCTCTCTCTCTCTCTCTCTCTCTCTCTCTCTCTCTCTCTCTCTCTCTCTCTCATCTTCTCTCTCTCTCTCTCTCTCTCTCTCTCTCTCTCTCTCTTCTCTCTCTCTCTCTCTCTCTCTTTCTCTCTCTCTCTCTTCTCTCTCCTCTCTCTCTCTCTCTCTCTCTCTCTCTCTCTCTCTCTCTCTCTTCTCTCTCCTTCTCTCTCTCTCTCTCTCTCCTCTCTCTCTCTCTTCTCTCTCTCTCTCTCTCTCTTCTTTCTCTCTCTCTCTCTCTCTCTCTCTCTCTCTCTCTCTCTCTCTCTCTCTCTCTCTCTCTCTCTCTCTCTCTCTCTCTCTCTCTCTCTCTCTCTCTCTCTCTCTCTCTCTCTCTCTCATTCTCTCTCTCTCATTCTCTCTCTCTCTCTCTCTCTCTCTCTCTCTCTCTCTCTCTCTCTCTCTCTCTCTCTCTCTCTCTCTCTCTCTCTCTCTCTCTCTCTCTCTCTCTCTCTCTCTCTCTCTCTCTCTCTCTCTCATTCTTTCTCTCTCCCTCCCTCCCTGTCTCCATCTTTCCCTTCCTCTCTTTCATTTACGATAAAAAAAGTCTATTGTATTCAAGTGAAAACTAGTTACAAGAATACCTGTCATTGATTGGAAATAAAAAAGAGCTGACTTCAACATCATTTAATAAATAGGAACCCCTAGTTCATCATCATGCCACACGCATCTGTCACTGCTCCATTTCTATATAATTTCTTGTCAATTGTCATTCGTTGAATAAGAATGACAGCTATACTGACATAATATCATAATTGAAAAGTATTTGTAATGAACTAAATCATGGTTGATGCATAAGATTTTCATCATACTTTTTTCAATTTTGCATCTTACAGTTTTGAAATTTCTACAGAGTCAGAGCAGTATACGAAACATTTGCTCACGTTATTGCAAGTTCCAGACACTTATCATTTGTCACTCTATTCCTATTTGTGGTTGACGGGAAAGCAAGACTGTGACTTACTAGGAAAGTGCAAGCGCTTGTTTTGACTTACTGTTGAAAGTAATGGGAATGCCGACTACAAATATGTATACAAAAATACAGAGATTATAACTTGAACGTTAATACCGTGATCCAAGTTACATGTGCATATACATTGATTAAATATATATACTCGTATAACTTAGAACTAACACACACACTTGTACAAAATGCTATTCCTAAAGGTCTGTTGGGAGGACGAAAGCAACGGCCGTGAGAACATCTATTCGTAGGACACATTGGCGTGGAACCCTTCTCCGTTGTCGTAGAAAGTTACAACCTGAAATATATATGCATTATTTTCTTGTTGTATTCGTGGGTTTGTTATGTATAATAATAAAACGAAATATTCGGCATTCCTTGTCTATGAAAGCCGTTTGGTTGATAACCTCGACCCTTTTTTATCAAATTTAACGAATGCAGTCTATTTTACATTTATTACATTTAACGAATGCGTATATTTAAAACTGAATATGCTTTCCACAACCTGGAAAACACGGAGCAGTCATTATTCATCAGAATAAAACTCAAAACCAGAAACTAACCTGAACGCGACCGTCCGGAAGGTTCACGCGGTACTGGCCGCGTGTGCTGCTGCCGTCGCTGTCCTCGTGGTGCGCGAACACGTTCCCGGAATCGGCGTCCTCCACCCCCCACTGGAAGTTGTACGGCATGCCCTTCATCGGCTGTTAGGGGGAAGAGGGGCCTGGTTTAATGCATCAGTCTTAATGGCTATATACATAAGCATCTACACATTCAGTCAATTAAGAAAAAGAAAAACTGAATTTATTGCTGCACACTTCACAGAACTTTCACCTTTTCACATTTTTTTTATTGATGAGTTTCGTGTGAATGTGAAACACGTAGCGCTACTAAACACCTGCCTATATACATATATATGCTACATACTCTATGCACAGCCATACAAAGAACTACACCTATTTTATATGTGCAGTACATACATACCCACGTATTATATACACTGTGCGTCTGTCATTGCTCTATACAGAGAATAGATTTACAGTCCTACAAATATAGTGAAATTGGCGCTCACCTTCGCAACAGAAGGAACCGGGGCATTCGCGCTAGGCGGCACTTCGTAGAGCCCACTGGGCTTCGAGGGAGCTTCGTACAAGTTGGTTGGGGCTGGGGCTGATTTAGCCGGGGCTTCGTAGAGGCTGGTTGGGGCTGGGGCTGGCTCAGAGGGAGCTTCATAA